GGCTGCAACCTGTTAGTGTTACAGAGGTTATCAAACTGAACCTTGGTCACTCCTGATACAGCTTCAGTTTTCTATGAGCTAAATTTCCCCTGCCAATGCTTTACATTGGTTGATCTTGTCCCTATCAGCAATTGCCTTAAAGTGATTAGGCAGGCTGTCTATATAATTTGTAAAGTAATTTGCAATTCTATGGAATGAAGAATGTAGTATAATGTATTATCATGAGCCAGACACTCAGCATACTCTTATTAATGAAAGACCTGCTCCAGATGAGGTTGTGGTGGATAAATATATTCCCATGACATCCTATGACATGCTCTTCAAAATGGACTTTTTCTAAGTTCATAATAATTGAATTCATCCAGGCTAATAGGATTTTTTTTTATTTGTGAAGTTTTGCACTCCACAGCCTCAGTCAACTAACTCGGGCAGCCTCTTCCCCCACAGATGACTCCGTTAATCCTGTGGGATAAAAATGGTGACACTTCCAAAAAAAAAAACATTAGATTCTCATATCTGCCTAACATCAGACAGATAACAGGCTCTATTCCCATGCCACAGTATCTCCATTTATCACACTGTTGTTTGGTTATAAAGGAATAAAGGCGGCTTAGAAGTCCTCATGGGAGGAAATGTGTGATTTAAATTTTGGTTTAATGGCCAGATTGTGATTTTTTTGATAAGAAACATGGGAACAAAAATTCTTCGAGATGCCCTTAAGTCCCTGGAGAGAGAGGCCAAGGCCAGAGCTGTGTCCCTTGCTCTGAAAAGCCAGGGCCTCCTTCTCTGCCTGCTGGGTATCCTGGAGACCTGCTAGAAGGCACAACACCCACTATATTTTCCCACCTTCTGGCAATACACTTCCTTTAGAACTACATGAGTTAGCTCAGGGTGTTTTTCCTGGAGATATTGCCGACATGGCACCTCTTTTCTGATGTAGTCCATACTAGTCACCAAGCCTTGCTCTACCCTTTCCACTTTTTCTCCCTGGAGGATGAATCACAGATCACAGGGGCTGATGGATGTTATAAGTTAGTTTAAGAATTTAGACGACTTAGTTCCAATTAAAAATTGATAAATTTATTAAGCAAGCGATAATAAAGCAAACAGCGCTGGGTGGCCTGGGGGGCTGGTGCCCCGCCAGAGACACACAAAACTTGTTTGAAAACTGGGCTTTTTGTACCCTCTCGATATCAGTTGTTGAATATTCATTCATTG